GGGAAAGTGGAATGACTCTATGGCCTGTCGTAATAGAGCTACATTTAGAAGTGTGTCATTTAATGCTCAAGTCTGCCAAAGAAGACTTCCTTTACTATACGCTTGTTTCATACGTTTACAGACATTTGTTTATAAATGAAGATTAGTATGTCCTAGTTTAGTGGTTCCCAAAACTTTTCCTTAACGGAACACTTCCCACATTCTGGGTATATAGCGGAACACTTCCCACATTCTGGGTATATAGCGGAACACTTCCCACATTCTGGGTATATAGCGGAACACTTCCCACATTCTGGGTATATAGCGGAACGCTTCCCACATTCTGGGTATATAGCGGAACACTTCCCACATTCTGGGTATATAGCGGAACACTTCCCACATTCTGGGTATATAGCGGAACACTTCCCACATTCTGGGTATATAGCGGAACACTTCCCACATTCTGGGTATATAGAGGAACACTTCCCACATTCTGGGTATATAGCGGAACACTTCCCACATTCTGGGTATATAGCGGAACACTTCCCACATTCTGGGTATATAGCGGAACACTTCCCACATTCTGGGTATATAGAGGAACACTTCCCACATTCTGGGTATATAGCGGAACACTTCCCACATTCTGGGTATATAGCGGAACACTTCCCACATTCTGGGTATATAGCGGAACACTTCCCACATTCTGGGTATATAGCGGAACACTTCCCACATTCTGGGTATATAGCGGAACACTTTTCTCTTTTTTTTTTTTTTTTTTTTTTTGTTTTTTTTTTGCTAGATATATTTTAGTGGTAGTCTATTAGTTATTATTCCAGTAGTTCGTGAAACACTTATTCAGGTCTCGTGGAACACTAGAGTTCCGTGGAACACAGTCTGGGAAACACTTATAGTTCTTAGCGCACGGAGCAGCACAAACAACACAGCATTGTAACCAACCTTTCCAAATGACACCGAGTGCATCGACTTTAAATTCCAGAAAACTTAATTATTCTATTAATATCTTTGGCAATTTAGGTCTGGATTTTGTCTCTTTCCGTTTTCATTTTCACCCTTCTTTCTGCTAATGTTGTGTATGGCATCTGCAACCTAGGACCCTTCCTTTATGTTTGCTCTCCATGTGGATCTATCCAGTGCCACATTTTCTCAGCTGCTAGTGTCGATTTTGAAGAGTTTTTTAGTAAGGGAGAAGACTATTCACCATTTTTTAACAAATTTATGCAAATGGTTTTAGATTTTTGGTGAAAAATTATTTTTTTTTTACATCTGTATTGCTAAGTTATGTAAGTTCTGTCATATTAAATACTACATTTACAAAAAAAAAGAGAAAAAATATATTTATAATGCAAATTAGTTAAACATAGTTTAAAACAACAATTAATAAGTAGTTGTTCATATTATCGCCTGAACTGCCGTCACTTCCAGCACGCTAGAAACTAAAAAAATATTTTTTTCTTAAGGCTTTGAATAAGAGATTGACACTTTTCAAAACAAGTAGATCAATTACATACTCATTATAAGACATCAGTTAGGCCAGGTTCACATCTAACTTCACATTCACTTTCACCTATCCCTTGGTCTGATGTACCTTTGGGGCACCACAAACCTTCTTTCTTCATTCTTCTCTGTCATTTCCTTTTGATAGAATTTCATTATGATATTCTTCTGAAAATATTGAAACCTGCATTTTTTCCTGCTTGGTTGTACCACTTCTAGGCCGATTTTGAGTTTGTGTTTCAACACAAATTGTCTTTGTAACCTTTCTTTTTTTTTTTTTCCAAATTCAGAGGGGTGAGGGTGCACAGACAGAAAGAAACATGGAGACAGGTAAGAGAAAAGTCCGGCAGGTAAGGTAGGATATATATATATATATATATATATATATACGATATGCAATGCAATGTTCAACCGAGAGGACAAAAACGGACTATTTATGTAGGTCTACCCGTCCTAGTAGGTAAATGACCTGACATTCTTCCTAGTGCCTAATTTATAGACAGATAAACAACAGATAAAGAAAGATTAAGACCATTAGTTTAGCATGTCAAAGTCACCGCGCTTTTGATTTGAGGGTGACATACTATTGCTATACTTGAAGCCCTGTTTCATTGTTATCTTTCGTTTAGATGCCACAATACCAAAGTATAAGGTATTTCAATTTACTTATCTGACCTAACAGTAAACATTTCAGCGCGTTTTAGCTCAAATGTAAAAATGATATCTTCAACTTTCAACTCAAATACGTTTAAGTGGCATTGCCATTATAAATTAAAGCTACTAGGTATAGAACGTAAATTATAAATTTCAATCTAAATTGTATCATAAGTTATTTATTTCAATTCATTATGTTCTTCGGCGTAAATTATTTATATATGATTCGGCTCCATTGTATTGTATTTCAACTCAGATTGGCTCTCTGGAATAAATCATATAGTTCATTGCTAGAAAGTAGTCGAAGACTGGACAGGATTCGAGTTCGGGACTATCGTGATTACAACCAATGTATCTACTGGTGACCTACTACACGACCAGGAAGCCAGTTGAAAAGCTATGCCCTAAACTAATAGGAAGAGGGAGGGGGGGTGTAGGAATTGTGTGACGTAAATAAACAACACTGGAATTAAGATCGAAATGCCGAAAAAAACACAACAAATTATGACCAACTGCCAACAGGGCTTTAAAAGGGGCATCAGTATTGGAGGTGAGAAGCTAACAAGTGTTAGCAGCTTCCAATACCTCGGAACTATTGTCTCAGATCAGGGAACGAAACCTGAACTATTGGCCCGAATAGCACAGTCACAGCGGCCGTTTTTAAACTTAAAATAATATGGAAGGCCTAGCCCTCGGCACCAAAATCAGACTGGTCATGGCCACATTTGTATATGCTTGTGAGTTTGGACGCTGACTTCAGAGCTAGAGAGGAGGATCCTAGCAATGGAATTGAGATGCAACAGAAGGATCCTAGGTATCACATTCAAAGACCGCATCACAAAGCAAGAGATTAGAGACAAGGTTACTGCAGCGATCGGACAACATGATGACCTGCTACCTATTGTAAAAAAACGCAGGCTTAAAATCTATGGCCATATTACAAGTTATTTGGGGCTCGCAAAGACCTTTCTTCATGGAACAGTACCAGGAAAAAGACGAAGAGGCAGACAGAGAAAGCGAAGGGAGGACAACATAAAAAGAATGGACATTGAAAGAGGTTCTAAACAAGGCAAAAGACAGTGAGGAATGGAGAAAGACGGTCGACGAGTCATACTTGGTGCCCCAACAGATAAGGGATAGGTAAAGGTTAAGGTAAGGAATGAAGATCAAACCCACAAGACAGAGAAGAAAAATATACTAACTGGCAACTCAGTCGTCAAGCAAACACACAAGAAACTTGAAACCGGCGAGAATACCTGGCACATGTGATAAATAATTTGAGATATACGTTAGCCCAGTGGCGTCACTAGAGTGGTTGTCACCCGTGCAGTTAGCTAATGATGTCACCGCCATTCATTAGCTTCACATTCAAATCTCCCCAATAACTACTATTACAATGAATACAGAGTTAACATTAACTGTTAACTTAAGAAGACTTTAAAGAGCTTCTGACGGAAACAGTACAACGTACATTAAAATGTACAAGAACATTAAAAATATTTTGTTTTGATAAATGTAAGGATGTGCAAGAGCAAGCAACAGCCCTTCATGGGCTGTAGTGTCACTGGGATGGAGTTAAAGCATTTTTCCCCTTTTCAGGATATCTGACTTGTAAATTTATAAATTTAATCTCATTTGCGATTTTGTTTTAGTAGACAGTATACTCATCCTTAATCTTCGAAATCAAAGATTGCTATTGTTTATGATTGGGAATACTCTGACCTGTTGTAGGTCTCAAATTAATAGTGTTTAATTAGCTCCAAATTTAAAACGATTTTTTTGCACATGATGAAACAGACGCTTGGTAAGAAACAGTTGAGGTCTTAATGAAATGGCTTATAGATATCCTTTGTAGTTTTATTGATACTCCATGTGAGTTGTAAAAATCAAGCTGGTAAAACAAATTCCCTTGCAGTCTCTTCAGTCGTAGAGCTTCTATAGATCATCGCTTAGAGTAGTTTCCCATGGGACTGTAGAGCCTGGACAGACAATCTCGTCCACAGAGAGTTCAGGGTCAGGTGGCATTCACTTTGGTGGTAGAGGAACCAGCCATTTCTCGTTTGAATCTCTTTTCTACCAGAGCTGAGGCCAATGTTTTTCGCTGTCCATAGCTTTTTTTTTATAACCATCTCTCTTCACTTAGTGAGGTCTAGGACTATATCTGTCATGTAGTTGCGATCGATGTCCACTACTTTGAGGTCCCGTTAGATTACATCTACATATTGGAGGTGGGTCGACCAGTTTTTCATCGAGCCGGTTCCGAGTTGTCAATAAAGGGAGGACATGACCAAGCCAACGAAAATTGCGCTGTCTGGGGATTATAAAGATGCTGGGAAGACCAATTTAAACGTGTGTCTTAGTCTTTCTTGCCAAGTGATTTTCAGGATCCTCCAGATTCAACGCAACAGAAATGAATTTACTTTCACTAGTGTTTTTACAATGACCCCATTCAAGTTACAACTTCACGTTCAGGAACATTTTGTTTATCTTCTTTTAAGTCGATCTAAAGAGAGAAAGGAGAAAGAAAAAAGAAATATGCCTCTTATCAGCTTGCCCTAAAACAGATGCATATATATAGACGAACAGTAGCAAAATCTGCAGTTCCAGAATCGACTCGAATAGTCACACCTGATTCAGCCCCGTTCCAAGACTAAACCGAAACCAGTGACTCACCTTGGTGAATCCATTGTCCTCCAAGACAGAAGGAGCCATATATATGTTTATAAATGCGTATACGTTTATATATGCTTATATATGTTTTTATGTTCATGCATGTTTATATATGCTTATAAATGTTTTTTATACTGTATGTACATATTCTATATACTTAACAGAACAAACAAGCAAGAAATCTTTTTTTTTTGTTATTTTAATGCTTAAATAAATATTTACAAAATGAAATGTTGAAATAAAGTTATTCAAACTAAAAAGAAACGTATTATGTACACTGAATTATAAAATGCTAAAAAGAACTATGAAATGGAAAGAAAAGGCCAAACTGCATCCTTAAAATTTAAATTTGGAAACGTAGTTTTGACAATAAATGTTAAACCCGAACATTAGATAGTGGTTGACATTAGATTCTCTATTCTTTAAAGCTATCCCTCTCGACTGTTAATTGCCAGTTAATTACCAACCTAAGTTAGTCAAAAAAAAATGGATGACTGTGAGCTCTAGAAGTGTAACTTTACTTCGGTTTATATAATATTGTACATTTTGCGTTAACAAATATACTATACAGCAGACTTTTCTTTTTCAAGGGAGTGTCAATAATCATTTTAGTATTGTTGTAACCCTGCCTTGCATCAATGCTTTTGGTGCGTACGAGCGTACATTTGAACAAGGACATGAAGAGGCTAGGACACAAGAAAGAACAGAGAGTGTATCCAGTGGTTGGGGAAAGTCTGAAGTGTTGGGGGAACTAAGGAGCCATCTTTCATGCTTTCTAAAAGACTGTAATAGGGACCTGGAGCGAAGCAAGGAAGACTGTCGTTGGTCCGTATTCGGTTTGGTGGAGGAAGGATTGGTAGAATTAGGAACAAGACTCTTCGGTGTGGAAGGCTGTTATGTGTTTGTCCTGGCGAATAAACACACGTATTTATTTACTGTAGAACCTCCTTGAGTTGCCTTCCTTAGATTTACAACAGTATGTAGAAAGTCTTTTTAACCGTAGACTGGACCACCTGCAGTCGAACGTGATATAAAGATAAATCACACTATATTTTAGTCGAAATAACATAATTCAATAGGGCCGTCACTTACAAGGCTCTCAACTATTGACTAAAATAATGAATAGTACACAGTTATCTATTAAATCCAAAGAAAACTTAGTGCAAGCAATGAAGGTAAACTTTGGACAATTATATCCCTAAACAATCACATTATACATTTTGTTGATTTTTTATTTTAGAAAAAAATGTTGAAAATCTTGAGAATAAGTTTATACAATAATATATAAAAAAAAAGTAAATACTCAAGAAATATAATGATAATAATACCCAAAAAAATCCATTTATAGACGAAAAATATTTACAATTATATATACAAAATGTGTATTTTTAAAACAATTTAATTTACATAAAATATCCTTTCCTTTTTTATCGTGATTTGTCCTGACTTTACTGGGAAAGAAAGATGTCGGTTATACACGAATACTTAATTTAGAGAGTCAGAGTTATAGAGCGAGACCGCTCCAGGGCGGTGGTTTAAAGTCTAACTACAATTATGATCTTACTCGGCTCATATCACGCAACTTTGAATTGGGATCTAAGCGCAAATTTCTCACCGCGATTTCTATTTTTATGAATACGAGTTGTCTTGGAAGGGAAGCGCTTTTAAAGGTCAAGCAGGTCATTTACTGAAGGTAGCTTTGCTCACTCTTAATCCCAATGAGGCACCCACCTCTCACCTGTGGCTCTCAGTGGATTAAGCGTGCGCAGCGTCACACGCCAAATACGGTTTTGACTGGGCGGCTAAACTAGGTAGAGGGTATCTGACGTGTTCGTGAAACTCAGTAAATGTTGTGGTTCTTATGCAACCTAGCATGAAGTCTGGACTTGGTGCCCTGTAAGAAGTGTCACTCTGCTTACACTAAGGCAGTCAACATCAGAGCGCTGTTGTGCGCTTAAGACACATAGACACAAGACGCATAATAAATATATAGACCAAACTCGTTCCCGGACGTCTTGACACACTCTTACTACCGGACTATCTCCAAAACCGTTGCTTTGACAGTTCAAAACTTAACCATCGCATTTCCGATGGTTTTAATCGCGCATACACTCAGCGCTGCTTTTCTGCCTGAATGGCGCTCAGAATACGGTAACTCGTTTGGCGGGTGGGGTTCCGCTTCGGATCCGCTGATGGAGTTCACAAGTCACAGACCGCAAGCTGCAACGGCATTAAGTCAAAACCTTTAAAAAAAATAAAAATAAGTAAACTACCCCCTTATAGATCTTGCTTTCTATGTTAAGGTCAACCGTTTCTATGGTAACGGTTAATCAGCAGGGTGTCATGTGGTCAGCACAACTACAAACCGCCTTTACTGGGTGAACTCAGGGACGCCCTAAAAATCCCGAAAGTGAAAATCAAAGTATTCACTGAGATTTGAATCCAGGACCCCAGGTTCGGAAGACAAGTGCTTTACCACTCTGCCACCGCGCCCCTCATAACGTAGCTTTCAAAAGAAAAAAAAATGGGCTTCAATGTTATCTGCACATAGCCCACTGCCCAGCCATCTTATTTCAACTAATAGTATCATATTCTCAACCGATACTGAAATGTCAACGACATATATTGCTTCCAATGTTTGTTTCTATGGCCGACTGTTAACGCGGGTATCATCTGGCCAGTATAATGACCAACCGCCTCTACAGAATTAAAGCCACATACCCATTGGAGTAGGGTGGACTCAGGGGCGTCTTAAAAATTCCTCGATTCAAAATTCTAGCCTTCAACGAGATTTGAACCCGAGATCGCTCGGGTCGGAAATCAAGCGCTATACCGCTCGGCCCCCACGCCCCTAATTCATAGAGTATATTTAAGTTCAACGTAAGGAAATGTCGCTTTAAAAATAAACACAAATGTATGCAAATAGTCAATGGCAAAAAAAAAAACATAAAAGGGCCAAGGAGAATGACCATGGAATGATGGAATGACCATGGAATGATGGAATGACCATGGAATGATGGAATGACCATGGAATGATGGAATGACCATGGAATGATGGAATGACAATGACCATGGAATGATGGAATGACCATGGAATGATGGAATGACCATGGAATGATGGAATGACCATGGAATGATGGAATGACCATGGAATGATGGAATGACAATGACCATGGAATGATGGAATGACCATGGAATGATGGAATGACAATGACCATGGAATGATGGAATGACCATGGAATGATGGAATGACAATGACCATGGAATGATGGAATGACCATGGAATGATGGAATGACAATGACCATGGAATGATGGAATGACCATGGAATGATGGAATGACAATGACCATGGAATGATGGAATGACCATGGAATGATGGAATGACAATGACCATGGAATGATGGAATGACCATGGTAAAAAGACCACGGTGTAAAAACAAGAAACATTGGCATTAATGTCTTCTACAAAAAGGATGTCGAGTGATTGAAAGGCTGGCCTGAAGATGTTTCACTCGAGTTCAATTGAGTTTTTTAATATTCTCTCATTCTTAATTTTAGGACTTTCGCTTTTATAAAACTAACTGTAATTTTCAGCTCGCTTAAGTAGTGCAAGTAAGTCGCTCGGTAAACCTAGTCCCAGAAACAGATGTAAAAGGGAAGAACTAACGTTTTCTTTTTAGAATATCTGTTTCCTAGGAGGACAGGTAACAATGTTGTCGGTTAGCCAACACACCGATCAACCTCCTTTACTTTCCGCCACTATTATCACGTACCATAAGAGCTAGGTGAACTCTGACATCCTAAAAAAATATTAAAAAACATCATCACCAATTTTGAACTCGTTCAACTCAGATTAAAATCCAAGCCCTTCACCCCTCGGCCACCGCGAACCTTTCACGTACTAGAATATAGTTTTATGTTTATTTTAAGTTTTTTTTTGTTTTTTTTTCTTATGAATGAGGAAGAACAAACTATTGTCAAACTTTCTCAATTCAATCATCTTGGCCCATTTTTTTTCTTTCTCCCCCAAAAAATGGAAAGTGTGCAACCACTCTAAAGAAACAAGCCGCGAGACAATTACTTGTCTAAATAGGTCGCCATTATGGCGTCCTCAGCGGCGTTTAGAAAATAAAATCCCTATTAAAAACTAGGAACGAATTTTTACTTAATAGCTGCAGTCGCAACCTCTTATTGAGCCTGTAGCCTACAGTCATTATTAGTCAAGTTATATATATTATATAGTCAAATATATATATTATGTTAGGATCAAATTGTTTCACATAATAATTAGGATCAGAATTTGTAAATGAATTTCAAAAAGAATTATGGGTAATGATTCAGAAGGGTAAAAGAATTGGTCTTTAGATTGTACTGGTCGACATTGTTGTATAAGAGTTTAGTGAAATAAGAAATATTGAGGTATCAAGTAGCATCTAGTGTGATTTTTTATATTTGTAGAGTTAATTGTAAATTATATAAAATACTACTAAAGAGCTTCATAATATTTAAGGATTATTTTATTTATTATGGATAAAATATAGGCTAAATATATTATGAAGGGTTTTGCGGCGAATTTTTTTTTTTTTTTATAGTTCTACGAGCAAACGAATGTATGAATATGTTTAAAATCAAACAGCCAGACCAGTAATTATTGCCGTGACATTTATGGGGTGTCAGAATCAGTTTGAATTTAATCTACGCTTGCAATTAATCTGATTAATTCAAATCCATGAACAGCATCTGACCCTAATTATAGTATGATACCTATTTTGTTCCTAACATATTGGACTATGTATTTACATATTTCTTTATTTTTTTTTACAAAGAACAAAAAAAATTTGTACAAAACATAATTCAAAGTAGGCATTCGTTATTCTTTAGAGTGGTTGCACATGCCAAAATTTTACTAATGCTTAATTAATACTTCCATCTTGGAATGCAATCTTTTAATCCCTGAAAAGAAACAAAAATAGGTTTGTGTTTTTATAAAAATGTATATCTAAGATGTTCAATTATATTATGCACTACGTGTAATATAGATGTATAAAATAAATATAATTGCTTTTGATTCAAACGAAAACTGATATTTAAAAACTAGGAGAAAGTGTTTAAAAGATGAAGCCTTTAAGAAACATAAGAGAGCATAGAAGAATAAGTTTATCAAGTTTCAGTAATGCTTGAGAAAAATTTATAAAAGTTTGTTTTCTTGTAGAGAATTATGTTTATTTAGATTATACGGTTGAGCAACAGTGACAATTATGGTAAAAATTACGTTATAGGTGTCATTATACTCAGAGTATTGTAGGTATTAATTATTAATTAATCCAAAAAAAGTTAAATCATTTACTTTTAATGATTTTGTATGTATATGAAAAGTATTGTTGGGACGATGGGAAAATAATGAAACGCTCAGTGTCTCAGGCCGATGGTTAACAACGAAAGAGTGCGACCATAACAGTGACAGTCGCCTTCCTTTCATAAACCAATGTAGATGGCTGCCTCATCATTTGGTAGGCAGAGTTCGAACCCTGCCCACCGCCATCCCCCCACCGCTCTGTGAGAGGCTTTTGCTAGGGTGTAATTATCTTCAATTATGACGAAACTTCCGAAACAGACTGCAACGGGATTGAAGACCGGAAGCCAGACAACTTACCACACGCCTACAGTAATTTGGTGCATCGATATTTGATATATTAGCCTAAGACTCAACTTTAGACAACTTCTGTTAAAAAAAATGTTAAGTTCTATAATACATACCCTTGACCTTTCAGAACATGTCAAAAAGATCGTCAATATTGTCTCTAGCCAGAAGATCTCTGGGAGACCACAACTTGATTAGTCTACCTCTCTGGTTGGTTATGGTTTGACCAGAGAATAGGTCACATGCGTTTGTGATTATGACAAATTGTGTTTGCCATCTTATATGCTGATCGTAAAAGGCATACTGAAATGAAATGATATGTGTAAATAAAATGTGTGTATTTTTATCAACTCTCTGAGGTCTGTCTGTCTGGTAAAAAGGGTGTACATGTTATTTCTTCCACACCCATTCTCGGATCAAGTTGATACTTTAAACGATTATTTATTGCACCTACCAAAACATGAATCATTTTAAAATATTGCAATCAATTAATTATTGGTAATTAACAAATTTTGTTTCATATTGAATAAGGGAACTAACTTGCGCATTATAGATAGATATAGTCAGTGGCGTCACTATGGGAGTGCGGCGGGTGCGGTCCGCACCGGGTGACACCCGTTAGGGAGGGGACACACGAGTAAAATAAATGCACTTTGGGAACAACTGACAATTTTAAAAAAATAAACGACAGTGGCTAAATATTGAAACATGCTATTCACAAGAAATAAATAGATCTATCTACTTTTTTTTTTTATTTTGACTGAACATATTTTATTTTTTAAATGAAATTCTCTCAAAATGTTATATCATATTAAATATCACAAGGAAAACGTGAAGCCTTACTTTCAGACGTTTACTCGCTACGTGTATGTATAGGAACACTGTTTTGATTTTTAAAAAAGGATTTTAATTGAGTCTATAGACTTTGTAGCTAGCACCGTAATATCATGATGCCAACCAATAGTCTTTAATAAATGACGACATACTTAAGGCATAAAATATTATTGAAATCTCACATGCAATTAATGTAATGTTTTAGAATTGGAAAGTAAATATGTGGCCTTTTAGATTTCTGAAAATGGTGATGTAGTATTTTTCAGTAAAATAAGCTCTAGCCAAGATGAAGGAAAGATTCCAATGTGTCAGTCGAATGATATGCTTGAATATTGTAGAGGATATTCTTTTTGGTTTTGCCATTTTCGCATGATTTACGGTGAAAATTGTCCAGAGGAAAAAAAAAAGATCGCCAGTTGTCAAAAGAATGGTTCTGTTGCTTCCTAATTGAGACGATTTAGTCTTTTAATAGCAAAAACTATTCTTTTGTTGTCGACTATTTTCAACTAATTGTATTGAAATGAAATAGAAATGTGTGACTTTCTTTAAAGTGTGTGGTTGTAATTAAGTTCGACATTGGAATAAAAGACGTATGAAGATTTTATCTGTATTAGAAAATTGGAAAACCAGGACATCCGGCTACAAATACAATAGACAAGGAAGGCGTTGACATGATTGATGTAAAGAAGAAAAATTATGAAAGGAGATATTGCGCAGACTGTTTCTATAAAAGCAGAAAATTTGACATTTTGTGACTATATTGACAACGAGTCTTTAGTGAATAAAGAATTTTCTTCAGATGGTGGAAATGTTATGTAATTCAACTCAGAGATAAAGGTACAACAGCATGTTAAAAAGTTTATAAATGTTTTGGCACACGACGTAATTGAGCACCTTTGTTTTTGTTTGATAACACACCTGATATAGCACACCTGACATAGCACACCCGACATAGCACACCTGACATAGCACACCTGACATAGCACACCCGACATAGCACACCTGACATAGCACACTCGACATAGCACACACTGATCAGTAGTTAAATATTCTAAGGGAGACAAACAAACGGCTGATGCTATGAACTACATTTCTTTCATTAAATGTCTAGAAAAGGCCGAGCTTTGATTTATATTTGGAGTTCAGGGGGGTATGAAAAGAACCAACAGAAAACTATTTAATAGATGTGTATAAAATTATAAAATTCCCTTTAAACTATGTGTTCGACATTCAGAAAATGCTTTTTGCCCAGCATTTTTTGGTAAAATTGAAATACTTCTTTCGTTCTGACATTGCTAGTGATATCTTTTATTTTAACAATCCTACCTATATTATTTATGGGGGAAGATGTACTAGATGGCGAAGGATACACAAGACTATGCCTATCTTTAAACTATAGACAAATGGTTACTAATTAAACCTTTTCTTTAACAAAAGCATAACCCATGAGTGCAAAGTGTTATAAAATAAGGCTCCCCCTTTAAATAAACAAAAGCCACTGTGGGATACAGAAGAAATAAAATTTAAAGACAAGAAGAAAATATCAGG